ACACGGTTTATTCGCGTGATATTTTCGATAAACCTCGTAGTAGAAAAGTAAATAATTTAAAACGAATGTATTCCGATTAGATTTGACGGGTTCGCAAGATGGTTCGGTGCATATTTGGGAGTGGGGTCATCCTCAAACAGTGGCCGAACCTCGGGCAGCCGGTACGTTTGCAAAAGTCACCAGGGTGCGGTTTTCACAACACGGCAACAAATTTGGTGTAGCCGACGGCGACGGAAATTTATCCCTGTTTAATGTCGGTCTCACGTCGTCCAACTACAGGCCATTTTATGTAAGTGCAGTCAGTTATAATTCCCTCTATAATTCATGATGCCTTGAGCGTGTACTCGATGTCTCGATATGTGACGTCGCGTCGTTTTGATCGAAACCAGGACGAAAAGTCTGAGCACACTTTTCAAGTCTGACGCATTATTAAATTAGCAAAATTAAAATGTTAAAAAATAATCAAATATACCTACCTTTGTCTTATGCAATATAATATTATTTGAATATTATTTCTTATTGTATCTACTTACAATTTACAAAATAGTACCTGTTATAGTGTTATTGTTCCATATAAAAAGTCAAAATTAATAAATAATAATATTGATTTAGCTACCTAGTAGATAATCTAAAATTACCTATATGGCTATATAAACGCATGGGTTTAACATCAGTTTGTGATACTTATGCACATGCAGTTAGTTTACCTACCTATGGTGGATTTCCATTATGTTGTTTTTTTTACATTTTTTTATGGAACAATGTTAAATATTGAAGTATTAGGAATAATTAATGWTTGTTTGATTCGACTGTAAAAAAACTAGTCTGAATTTTTGACCAATTAATCCATCTAAGTGTACTTAATTTTTTCTTCAAKACATTCCMWTGCCATAATAAAGTTACCAGCGACTTTGTGTTCCTCGGTTCGTGCAGTCTCATCGCCACGACCGGCCATTCGTCAGAAAACAGAAACGTTGCATTGTGGGACACACTGTTGCCGCACAAAAAATCACTAGTCACGGGTAATAATACGATATAATATATTTAATATATTGTTCTTAAACATCCCCCCCCGCCACACCAGTCGAGGCCTTAAACGTAATTACTCGACTGAATGTTTTTTACTTTTTATTTTTTTCCATCGTTAGCTTTCGTGTGTCACGAGCAAGGTTCGACGTGTATCGGATTTGCTCCACAGCATCAAGTGATAGTCACCGGTGGACGAAAAGGTGACATATGCATATTCGATGTTCGCGGYGGAAGTGGTTCGATAAAGCACCGTTACTTGGGTCATGATTCGTGTCTTAAATGCATGACCATCGACCCACACGAACAATTTTATTGCACCGGAGCAGCAGACGGAGACATCAAAGTAAACGCACTAGCTGCATTTCTTGCTGTCATTGCAGGGTGACTGTTGGACACATATTTTCAACTGTATGCTTTTCAGATTTGGAATTTGTCCTCCCATCAGTTGATGTACACATTCCCCGCYGAACACGCTCGTTCCAGTTTCTTCAAGCACATCGGTCAAGGCGTCACACAGCTACAAGTGGACTCGTCTGCAAGACTGTTCTCGTGCGGAGCGGACGGTTCGATGAAAGTCAGACAGCTCCCGGACAGGTATCATTAAAGGGATTTAACATGAACGGTTTGATTTATCCCAACCATAACTGTTATTCAAATATTGATATCTAATCGATTCGTTAAAAAGTAATAGTTAAAAAATATGTAGTCACACATACCACAGAACTAGTCAAAATAATACAATTCTGAAGGGAAATATTGCTTATTTAAACAATTTTCTGTTGTTATATTTGTGTTTAAATTATAAACTTGTGTGTATTAACGAGATTCATCGGAAGTTATTTTAGTTCTTATTTTTACTAGTAAAATATTAGGAAATATATTTTTAAAACACCATATTATTATTAAATAATTTAGAGAAATTGTAACTTTGAAATGTGCAATAATAATGTATTCATTTTTTTATTGTTACACTTCAATAGCTATTATTTATTAATTGATACCTATCAGCAATAAATAAAACATATTTTATAATTATAAACCTTTATAAATATATATTGAGATTACTTCATCAGTAGTTCTCCTTTAGTAAGGCGATGATATTTAATACTTTATAATCTTAACAACAAATCTTTAACCATTTTAATATTTTAATCCAGTATTATAAAAGTTCTCATATTTTAATACTTTTATCTACTATATTGTCTCTATTCAACCAAAAAATAATAATACTTTAAATAATATTCACTTATTTATACTATTATTTGAGTTATTCAAATATTTTATTAAATGCATAGCGATGGATTGATATGTTATTCAAAAATTAGAGATATAATATACTATTGTAATAGAAACGTAATATTATGTTACATATTATTATTATAACTGAAAAATCAAATATATTCATACAAATTGTAAAAAAGTCATAATAATTGATAATAATTTTAGCTGTATAATTATCTACGGTACAATTAATAATGTACCTAGTGCAGGTTTTTATTATTGTGTACGGGTCTTCTGTGATTTTTTTTATTAATTTAAAGTTAGTTTGTTTTTATTTATCATGTAGTTTATTATGCAAGTTTGAGTGTTTTTCATTTTAGATCAAGACTTTTGACAATAAAAGAATAGCAACCATTTGTTAAAAACATTATGCAATATTTTTTTTAACTATCAAGTTTCATGTATACTATACATAAATGTTTCTAAGTACCTATTTTATCCTGACAAATTTATTTGGCTTCACATAACATATTATGTTTTATCCACCTCGGCTTCTATTTTATTTTATCTAATTTAAAAAAATGTGTGTTACTACAATATAAGTTATCATATTATTATTATTATTATTATTATTATTACTTTTAAATAAAACATAATTATACCATGTTGTTGACTTATTTGAACTTGTTTTTATTTTTATTTAGAAAAATTTTTTCATATTCAATTATTTTCCAATCCATAAATACTAAACAACTAACAAATTATTTTTAAATATCATATGTTTTTTAATTATGTATAGACGGTATAGTTATGAATTTCAAAATTTAGTTTAAAGTTACACATTTGAAATATTTCTCTATACAGATAAATATAAAAAAACTAAAAACAGAATGTCTATATCAAGATATTTACACYAYTTAAAAATGAAACTTTAATTTTTTAATTTTACAGTGATGTGTGTTTTTTTTTGTGTGTCTCAACTTCAGTAGCTTTTCCGGTTAGAAAGTGAATCTAGTAGTGCATTGGAGAAGTCAAATTTTGAAATGTCCAGTAGTTTTCAAAAGTACCGGGAAAATTAAAAAAAAAATAAAACAAATTACCCTAGACACCTACAATTTTCACTGAATGTTTATACTGGCATTTTCTATACTTGATAAAATTTTTAAAATATTTCAATTTTTTTTGAAGATATCKATAGACATTTTAAATTAAGTTTTATGATGTATGAAACAGATTTTGTATATGAAAAGCATTGACTGGTGCCCAAAAATTATGCATTTTCATTCAAATTTAGGCCCAACTATTTTTTTTAGGTTGTGTACCTGCTGTATGTTTTTTCAATATAAAATTTAATTATATTGTCGATATAAATATAATTTAAATTTAAAAAAAAAGCGGCTAAGTGGATGTGGCTCTGCTGTACATTAGGTGGTGGGGTGGACCTCTGAATAGGGTAGGTTAGATTTGAATACGAATTGTATACGAAAAACGATTCTGAACGGAGATGATTTGTCAGTCTAGGTTATATTATATTTAAATATTGTCATATATTCTATTTTGAATCAGAATTCATTTTGCATAAGGCATGGTTAATCAATTTTTCCAAAAACATTGCATGTAGTTATCATAATTCATAATACCTTATATTATCATAGATATACATACACCCTATTTCATAAAAATTTAAAACTCAAACACTCAAAACATTTTTTCTATAATGATGCTTTGAGTTTTCTCTATAGCTACTTGAAGAAAAACTTATGGAAAACTTAGTGTTGTATTTTTAATCTTTAGTTATAAACACAAAACATTTTATGATTTTTCAACTTTAAAATTACTTGCAAATTTTCGCGTTTTTGACAGATTTCTTAAAAATTTGAACTATAAACGCATATAAGTTTTAAAAAAAAATCGTGACTATCGATTTTTAATTTTTTTTAGGTACAATACGAACAACTCATTAGGAACCTTGTATTATATTTTCAAGTTTTTTTGGTCATCTTACATTTTTTTTACCGACACTTCAAAAAAAATTTTCATTAAAATCGAAAATTTCAGTGGTCTATAAATATCTCAAAAAAATTTTTAAAATTAATCTATATATAGATAACACTAACATAAACATTTGGTGAAAATTTCAAGTATTTACAGTGATTAGTTTTTGAATTACAACCATATAAAAAAATCGATTTGGTCGAAAACTGATTTTGCGTAAAAATTCCCGTTTTTCTGTCATTTTTTTTTTGTTTTTCTCGATTTTTTTGAAAACTGTTGGAAAATGTTTACTTTAGACCTCTATAATGCACCAAGGATGATATTCACTTTTACATCGGAAACCACCCCCAAAGTTTGAAATTGAAGCATTATTTCGACTAGTTATGCTATACATAGATACAAAAAAAAAACCACACATCATTGTAAAATCAATACATTCATCACTTCGTTCAGAATCTAAAATGTTCTGTACTTTGAATGTAATGACAAAAGACCTAAGCCCCCCTCCCCCAACTTGGACATACCTTGTGGGCCCTTGCCTAAATACACTACTGATGAAATACTAGTATAAACAATAAATTATTTTTAATTTTGTATCACAAGTAAAAAAAAAAATTTAAGATTGTTCAAATCAATTTTATTAAATTTAAAATATATGTGTATAAATAATATTGTAATAGTTGATGATGTAAAAAAATATAAATATATTGTGTTATCCGTTAAATTTAAATAAATTATTTTTGTTAAAATTCACTAAAAAATATATATAAAAATGAAATAAAAATTCTCTATTGTTGGCAACAAGCCAAATTTTTCACAAAATACAAAATAGAGAAGATGCATACAAAACACGCAAATGCCGATTGTTCAATTATAATTGTATGAAATTGTGGTAAATATAGTACACAAAAATAAACAAACTAATAGCATCCATATTCCGTAGGTTTTCAGCGTTAATGGAGTTGTGTTAAGACTCGACAATACTGGACCATTTGCTTGAGAACAATACCAACTATTAACTATAAATGGAATTAAATTTTATTCTGAGGGAAGAATGACGTAAGCCAAGACTATGCACTTAGGTCCAGTAGATTGTTTTTATTACGTTTTCCAACCGATGCACCACAGGCTAAAGACGCTTTCATTTTTAATGTTTGCAACCGTTTCATGAAACCGTCAGCTTCACTAGTGGCAGCAGACTCAGATTTTTGCAGTACAAGTAGCTTGGAATTGTCATAGATTCCTGAATTATAAAAACAAATACACAAATGCAACAATTTAAATTGTACATCAAATTTTAAAAAGATGAATAACTGTACCATTGTGTTCGACTGGATCGCTTTTAAAATTATCTTTGATTGCTGATAGCCGACGGTGAATACAATCTTGAAAATATTTTGTCTTCTTAGAAATGTACGGCGATATGTCTATATCTGGATGCTTAATTTTGAATTCATATAATTTTTGTACAGCCTGTTAAACAAACAGAAAATTAGATATCCAATATTTTTTGTGTGTAGAATTTGAAATTAAATATTCAAAAATAATGATAGATGTTTACATTATAAAAAAAACATTGATTTTCTACTTGAACTGAGATGTATTTTAAAAATATGACTATTTATGGCTACATTTCAAAAACTCACTTCGTCCATCATTTCATGTTGTCCTATTAATTTGAATATATCTGCTAGTTCATCATGCAGTGATCTGTGTCTACCATTATTCCATTTTGATCTATTACTTAATTGCTGATAACAAATTTTAAACTGTAATTATCTGATTAAAGATTATTGGTTTAGCATTTTTACCTTTAAAGTCTTGAGTATGTAATTAACCATTATTGAATCTTTAGGCAATTTTAGATTGGCCAAACTATCCAATACTTTATCATTACGTAATTTTACCATAGTATATAAAACAGTTTTACATGTTCTCATTGGAATGTCGCATGGTTGTTTATTCCAATATTTTAAATCAATTTCCTAATTTTAATAAACAAAAGAGTTCAATATTTTAAATATGGTGCAACACATTTTTTAATAACATAATGAATTGTATAATTTACTTCCAAAAATTTATGTATGCGTTCAAATACTTGTTCATAACATAGATCATCACCCCACCTTTCAAAATCTTTTGTACTTTTCCATATACATTTCATTACCAATTCTTTAAAATGAGCTGTCGAATTTTGAGGGTTTTTGACCGTTTCATGAAGTATGGTTAAAATAGCACTGGGAATGTATATTACACGTGATTTTAATAAATCAACATATATTCAAAGAAATATTGACAAGTGACAATATTCTTACCATGTGACTGTAGTATGAGCACACAGATCAAGAACTTTCATAATGAGACTGTTAACACATTGCCAAAACATTTTAGTATCTGAACTGTTCTCTATTTCCTTTGTGGATAGAAGATACAACAGTTTTAAAAGTAAGTCGTGTACAATTTGTTCGGTTAATATTAACATGAATTCTTGATATTTACACAGCTAAAAATAATTTAATCTAACATTAAAAATGTATTATAATTGTACTAGTTTGGAAATTAATCAATAATTTAGTTGACAAGTCAATCATTGAATTTGAGAGATAAAAGATTCTCTTTTGCATTGCAAATATAGAATCACTGTCATGCTTTGTACTATCGCTATTATAAAGCTAATTTCAAATATTTTAAACATAACACCGGTTATTAAAAACCACTAACAATGAACCAGTGGTGATTTCTGTAAATATTCACTTTACACTAGAATAATATTTTTTATACTTTCCTTTGCTGTAATATAAATTAATATAATACTAGCTTTAGATTTTCTGGTAATTACATTGTACACAAAAAAGATAAAAATGTATCAAATTTAAACTGTCCTAATTCTTAAATTTTGATTAAAATATTAATCCAAGAATTAATTATATTGTTTGTTTTGAATATTGAATAAAAAAATAAAACAAGAATTTACATTTTGAGAATTATAAATTTTTGTTCTATACTTTTAAAAATTTAAGTTAATTATGTTGTACAAGACATTTTTACTAACTTAACTAATTCATGTTATCATTCAAAATCCATTACTCTAATGAAAAGGTTCCCAAACTTGTATGGTACGACTTATTTTGGAAATTATTTAAATTTTGGTGGCTCACAATAATATTAATGACCCTTTTTTTTATAGTAGGCTCAGTCTTCATTTTTAACCGTTGACAGTGTTGACACAGATATTGGAGCACAAAAAAAATGAATTTATTAGCTATTTGAAAAAAAAGTAGAAGTAAATTTGTAACTGTCACAAATGCAGTTAAAGATTTATGGTAAAACTAAATTTAACAATCAACAAAAAGTAATAAAAATGAATGTCTACAATATACATTATTTAAAAATGTAATGCAATCCCTTAAAAATATAATATAATCTCGACTCACTCCACTTTTGGAAACCCTTGCTCTAAGGTATTATATCTATTATATAAAATAATGTTATGTAACTTACATTCAAACATAAATGGAATATATTTTTATATCTAACAGTGTCTGTACAATCAGATAATACATCTAACTGTCTAATAATTCCATGAAAAAGTGACAACACTCTTCCATCTTCTAAAAGCTTTAATCTTGTCTACAACAAAAAAATTTACAAATATCAATATCATATACATTAAAATATTAAATGCTATACTTACTTCTGGTACCGTTAACATTTTATCGAGTTTTGTTAACGCAACTTTTGATGTTTCTAAATTCGTTGATGTCACTTGATTTATCAACTGCGTAATAGGATCAATCGAGATTAGTGGATTTTTACTTTTTATAATAGTTGCAGTAGTATATGGATTTACGTTTAGACATGGTTTAGACATTGACAAACTATCAGAATATAAACATCTAAATATGAAATACTCATTTATCTAAATGTAAAATTTTTAATATAAAAATACGTACTGAGATTTATCTTGAAATATTTTTCCAAAGTTTATTTCATCATTATCTGTGGTCCAGTTATATGGTTTTAATACTAGCCGTGGTGTTTCAATTACTTCTGAATCCAATTCTTGAATAAATTTTTCGTCTAAGGCAAAACGAGTTCGGGTCACACGATTTTTGTCACCAATTTCAACGTTAGAMATTCTAAAATAAAAATGCTTGTATTTATATACTTATATAATAAAAAAAATTTGAAAAATTCCAGTAAACAGTGAATTACTTAAATTATCATTTTATTAACTCAATTAAAATCCAAAAATATTTAGACTTAATTTAAGCTACTTAACAATAATTATGATGTTAAAATTTGTTTAGTTTATTTCTTTTAGAGTTGATACAATTATTTAGGCTCAATCTAAAAACATGAAAAATTAATACGCTATTCCATAAGTTGTTCTAGAAATTTAAAAATTGTATAACCACAATATACATTTTTTTTTTAAGAGGTTGAAATTAAAATTTGGAGAAATCAGATATTTAAACAAATAACACCGATTTCAGTATTTTTATGTAATTAAATATATTTTTTTAAGAACTTGAAATACTTTTATGAATATTAATACATAATGATAATATAATGACATTTTCAAAATATTTAGAATAATTTTGAGATGTTTATAAAACAAACCTATTCAGACCRTTCTATGCTAAGTCAGCATTGACACCAAAGTTAACAACAATAATATAGTATGATATAAATATATACTCGGTAATCGGTAATATAGGCAGGCAGCCTATCTTTGCTCGAAGTGGAATTGATTCATAAACATAGATAAACACCATTCGGGATTGTGTTTTGACTAACATAACCTATGAATCTTACAAAATGTATACCTAATAAAACATAAGACTATGTTAGAAATATTAAAATATTTTTATCACCTGAATTCTATTTCTGATGTAGGTGTATGTTCTACAGTAGTAGGAATAGTTTCTGATGTACAAAAAGAAGAATTCACAGAACCAGAAGGTGAATTGTTTACGTTTCCTTGTGAATTTTGTTCATGATTAAATCCTTGTGATACATTAAGTATAGCATTTTTTTCTTCACAATCTGAGGTATATTCTTCACCATCAACAATGTCTTCCTCTACATCAGTCACTTGTTTAACAGGAGGTGAAACAATTTTCATAGTTGGCTGAATAGTGGCAACAGGCACGACCCGATTCTTTGAAGCTCTTTTTAATCGTTCCTTCAAAAGACCCATATCTTTTTCAGAAATCTGTTTAAAAAGTAATAATTTAAATTTAAAACATAGATAACAACTAGGAATATGTTACTACAGGATATTACATCAATATCCCTACTCATTTAGAAAAAATTTCAAATAGTTCACAACGTTTTGGATATATTATGTAGTTAAAATATAAGTTAAATTATTAATTAATGTTTGTACTTAAGACCTAATATTAGTAATTTTATACTAGTATTATACTAGTTCAAATAGTATCTACTAGAGCCCTCTTTCAAATTGAAATTATAATAACAGATAATTCTAAAACGAATACATCATTGACAATTATGAATATAAAAAAAACATACATATTTATATTTTACTAATTAAATATACTAAGTCTTTTTTAAACTTAATATGTTTATAGCAATAATATAAATTATTAAGAAAACATATTCTTACATGGCCAACAAAATTGAAAAGTGCTTCTCCGTGTAAAAAGAACGCAGCAACAAAACAATTAAGTGCTGCTGTACGAACAGAATTATCTCTATCTCCAATGCTTTTAGCGATTTCTTTACAAGCAACTGCAACACTTGGTTGAAACACTGAAGTACCATAATCTTCTACCATGGATGTTAAATGTTCCAAACATTCTACATTTATATAACACATTTATAAACTATAATTAATAAATTATTAATTGTTATGATTTTTTTTAAATTTATATTTAATAATACATTACATAAATATTTAATTAGAAATTTGCCGAAGTTTAAAAAACATTTATGTTGGAAAAACAACTTTGTTTATTGCTTACAAACAATCATCAATTAATAATTAATAATAGTAAAAAGAATGTTTATACATAACATGATTTTTAATTGATTTATGTGATTATTTAACAGTAAAATTTTTGTATTGTAGTTAAAAGTACTTAGTTTGGAATTATAATAATTTAAGCAATCATTTTATTTAATCAAATGAAAAAAAATTAAAATATTAATCATCACCTGAACGCTGTCTTGAGTTTTTTGATTTTATTCCATCCATAATATATTGAAATATCTTTGAAATTGGGAATACAAATGCAATTTGTTTTAATATTGATCGGACATTGTTCCTTACTACATCTTTTGGATCGCCCAACTGTATTGTAAACAGTAAACACAATTAATATATTGTAAAAAATACAATATTACATAGTTAAGTAATATTTTACTCACTTTTTTTATTAAATACGGTACAAAACTTGATGCTTCAGTATCGTGAAGAGTATATTTTTGGGCTATAAGTATATTAAATGTGTGTTGTAAATATTCAAGACCTTTTAAAAGTACTGATGGATTAGTATCAAAAAACCTTAAGGTTATCCATTTCAGGATTAAATCAAGATTACTAATTAATGGTAAATAATTATCATTTGCTGTATTAAAGTCCTAATTAGAAAATTAAAAAATWAATTTAGTATGCAACAACTTATGAAAATTAGTAAAATATATTTATCTTCATAATACCTCTGATAGAGACTCAATTGCTTTGAGATGATGTTTAAAATCAGAATGAAACATGTTTGTAATTAACACCTTGTTAATGCCGGCTGTTGACATTTGGTCTCGTAGTTGTTCAACAAATTCTTCTCGGGGAGTAACAAAATTCCATTTTAAAGACTAAATAATGCATTAAAAAAATTTCAAAACATTAATATTTTAATAATATATACCGACCTGTTATTATTTACAATCTAAACAGATTAGTGCAATAAGTGATAGAGAAGTGAAAAYTAACATATACATTGAATACTTTAATATTTAGTTACTTATACAAATATTAAATCTTTGTATTGTCAACTTGTATTTACAATAAGCTTAAAAAAGTACATACCTTTAATTTATGTTCATCAATATCACGTTGATGCTTTAAGTTATTTTGTTGAAACAATGATTTATTATCTACTTCTATATTTTTTCCAGTTGGCACATGTGCACGGGAAATTATATTTTCCTTTATAAAAATTAAAAACAAAATTAAAATAAATATAAAGCTTAGGGTTTAAGCAGCCCTCCTTGTTTTGTTTTAATTTATGTGCCCCCCCCCCAGCTAGTCACATAATGGTCATTTATCTGATTTAAAAACAAGGTAGCAAAACCAAAAATTAATTTTACTCAATACTATTATTAAAATATTTATGATATAATCTGACTGTAATATTATTATGTGACACAGGCAAGTTTACTAGTATATTAATGATGTACTAAGTATAAAAAAAATACCTTATTTACTTTTGTAATGGCTTTAGATGCAAATGTTTTTGAACCTTTTGATTTAACCAAAGTACTTCCAGGAACACAAGTTTTTACAACTTTAGGCTTTTCAATTGGTAAGTTAGGTCTTTCATTGTCTAATTTTTCTCTGCACAACTTGACTGACATAGGCTACAAAATAAATATAATTACTTTTTATTGGAATTAATTATTTATTTATAAGTTTCACCTTTAATTTTTCACAAGCACCATACATAGAAGCATAACCTAAATGTATCATAAATCCAAGAACAGCCTTTTCTGAGGCACTACGAACACCAGCGTTTTTATCTTCAAGACTTGAGTATAAAACAGGGAGTAAACATTTCAATTCATCAGCCGGAATTGTCTTCACAGTAACTATATAAAAATAATATTAATTTAACAAATATAAACATCGAGCAATACTTAAAACCATACTAATAGGCAATTTTTCTGCAAGCCAAGTCCATAGTTCAGATCGAAGTGTTACTGAATTGTTTTTTAATGCATCCAATAATACATCACCTCCAAAAAATTCTCGATAACCACATATTTCTCCAAAAGTATTCATACATTGACGAGCACTTTGACATTTAAATGTCTAAAAAATTTGAAACAATAATTTGAGTATTTATCAAAATACATTTTTAAATATATTATTAATCATACTATTTATATTCTAACCTTTGAATCACCTAAAGCATTTAATATCCCAGGTAAAAAGCCTTTTATATAAACTTTAAAAGATGATCCCATGGCTATAGTTATTAGTTCTACTAAATTGATCGCATTTGAACCAAGGCGAGCATTTGAATCACTTATCCTAAATAGTAATAATTGGTAATYAAACAATCAATTAATAATAATAATAAAAATACTTTTTATGTTTTTAAGTATGTATAACATGAATAGTTTATACCTATCTTGCAAAGCTTCCCTTACTTCACCCAATTTACTAGTTATGAATTTAGCTTCCGTAATAATGTTTTTCAATTTAGTTAAGGCATTGGAACGAACCTATTTAAAAATGAATTAAATTAAATAAAAATTGAATTTTAAGAAATACTCATTTATAGACTTTCTAATAAGGATGGGTATGAAATCCGAATATACAGATCTCCAAATCTGGATTTGAATCAATTTCTTATCCAGATTTCCCAAATTATCTGGATTTATGGATTTGCTTTATATGCAACTTAAGGCTTACAATTATTTTTAATGAATGGTAAAATAATTTATTTTATTTTATTACAACAAAAATTTAACAATAAATTAATATTTAAGTTTTAGGATATCACTGGTACTTAAAATGCTTTCGAAATTTGGTCTAGATATGTYCGAAAATTATATTATGAAATTAAAATATTATTAGTATATAATAATCAGTCATTAAACAGCAATAATCCGGATAATCTGTGAAATCCGGATTTGCCCACCACTGTCCACTACTTTCTAATAACCTTCCAATCTCTATCTGAAAATTCATTTATCAAAGCATCAGTTATTTGAGGTGTTATGTCTACTCGAGGGACAAAATCTCGTAAGTTAACTTCATTATCAGGCTTTTCATCATCACTCGATAATTCAGTAGATCCTTTACTTTTTTTTCCACGTATTGGTTTTGGAGGAACTTCATCTTGACGCTGTTAAACAACATTATTAAAATATGAGTGTAAATGTGTAATAACAATATAATATAAAAACACTAGTTATACCTTTTCAAATTCTGCATTTATCTGTTGCAATAAAGTTTGTTTTTCATTTTCAAAAAACAAACTTAGTTGAGGGCCCACATACATATACATAACACCCAAAAGAGATATAACAGCTACCCTTACTTGAGGGTTAGAAGCACTAATACCTTTTTTTACATACTCTATTACATATTTAGGTGTGATGCTATAATGTAAAAAGATAAAATATAAAATATAAAATTTGTACAACTCAAAGAATTCGATTGTCAGTTGTGAAATTAAAAACTAATAAAAAACTTACTCAAATCCAAACTCTAAGATTGCACCTGAAAGCCAACTGAGGGCATCAATCTGAACTTTTGGACTTTTTTGAACAGAAAATGCATATTTTAATACAACATTAGAAACCAGATCCAGTCTAGATGCATCAGCAAAGGCAGTTAATAATTCACTAGCTAATTTACCATTTTTATCGCCCAATAATGAAGAAACATCTTGTATACAATATTCCATGTTAGTACTAAAAATATTAAATGATAAATAAGTAAATCATCGACATAAATAAGGAATATTAAATGATTTTAAATGCTCTACAATGAAAAACTACCGGGTTATAGAAAACTTCTCAATAACTTTTTTCAAACACTCTAGTTTCAACTTTTGAATTTGTACATTTTTGTCTTTAATACCCGGTTTTTTTATCAACAATTTAATTAATACTTGACTGCTAACTATTGATGAATCTATTTCATCAATTACCTGCAACAATTAAAATAACTGTAAAGTACACAATAAAAAAATAAAAAAATAACACTAAAAATTAACATGCTTGAGAAAATTCTTGAACTTTAGATAAACGAGTTTTCCAATTTGCATCAATCATGCCATTTAAAATTTCAGGGGATATAAAAGTTAAAGCTAATTCTTCCAACTCATCGTCACTGATTTCTTTTTCACTATCAATTGAAAAATGACTATTTGATGATAATACTTTAGAAACACCTGATGGTTCACAAATTTCATATAATATTAAAATATTACTGTGTTACAGATATGTTTACAAAAACATACCAGATGGATTTTTGGCTTTACTACTAGTTGCAAGATTTTTTTTTAAAGCAACACTTTTATTAGTTGTAGCAATTGCTTTTTTTCCTACATTAATATTTGAAACACTATTAGGTTTTGATATACATTCTTTGACAACAGTTGGTTGTTTTGCAATAATAATAGCCTTTTCTGCTGCTTCTTTAATCTACAAAAAGATTTTTAAAAAAACCTTWAACTTGTATATTGATCATAATGTATTTATTACATTTAGTCATATAAAATATATTAAGTTACTTTGGAAAGTTTTATAGCGTCAACACTGGTCAAGAAAGAAACAATATTTTTTTCTGATACAACCTTCCATGCAGTACCAAGAGCTTCAGCAGAATTATCCCGAACAATCGGATCTGCAATACAAATAATACCAACCAACATTAATTTTATAATTGGGACTCCCTGCCTTCCTGGTTATCAAAGCCATTTTAATTATTATAGTAAACATATATCAGCTAGTTATTTAAACTAACAGAGAAAAAAAATAAAATTAATAAAATTAATAAACTTATGTTATTTTTATTAAATATTATTCATAATAATTTCCACTTACAATAGGACACTAATGTATCAATCTAATAATTGTACAATATAGCAGATTAGCTTTAATAATTAATATTAGAGTAATAAACTATCATCAAACTTAAAAGTAAGAATATTATCTAAAACACCTCATAGAATTTATGAATATTAATAATTTTAATTTTAAAGTAAGTTATAAGTTTATAAATATAATATGTAAAAAATTACAATTGAACACATTTTAAAATTTAAATATTTATAAAACCCTGTGAGATGTACTAAAATAGTAGTCTTACCCGTAAGTTTGACTATAAAACAGTTAGTGAGTAAGTAAAATGGAAATCATACACACGAGTTTGGTGTCATCTTAATAGGTACTTTAATTTATAACCAAAGTCAAATTAAAATGAATATAAATATAATTTTTTTTTAATAAGGTTAAAAATATTTCAAATTTCAAGTTCATTATATAAACAGAGATGAATAATTTACCTGATTCATTCAAGGTTTTAATTAATGCTGTTGTAAAAATTTTCAACAAGTTTTTGTTTAAAATAGCCGGTGTACATTTTTTAAAACATCGAGTTAAAAATGAAATTGATTCAGCTTTTACTGATGGATTTTTATTGCCTATTGCTGTTAAAATATCTTCATGAATAGATTCAAGTGTCATCTGAAATAATAATTGTTAATTGTATTAGTAATGATCTAATGATAACAATTATTAAATATTTAAAAACTTAAATTACACTTAAATAGATAGCATCAACAGCATCTCTAAGCGACAATACAATATTTTGTTTTTTTTCCTTGAATTTCTCTAACAATGCTGGTATACAATTAGAAGCATAAGTTTCAAATCGTTTTTTTAATCCATTAGCTAACATAGTCATACATTTAATAGCAATTCCRACTATTACAACATTTGAATCTTTTGTAATAATCTAAAATATTAAAACAGATAAAAATAAATGATTGAAGTATATACAAGCCATACAACATTTAGTTAGTTTTTAAAAATAAAAATATTAAGAAACATTATTATACAAGGATTGAGTATAACAATAAATAATTTCTTACTTTCTTTAAAGCTCTCACTAAATCTCCATATTCTCCACTTTCTATTTTTAGAGCTTTGGATAATACTCCTTCTAGCATATCTATGCCTTCTTTGCGTTCTTGCCATTTCTTCGCTTCAAGCTTTTCATAAAAGTCTTTATTTAACTGACAAAGTATATTTACTGGATCGATATGTTCTTCAATATTATCAACTTCATCTATGTTCTCTTCCAACTCCACAACTGTTATTATTTAGCAAGTTATTTAGTGTTTAATGTTTTAAACATTAAATCTACTAGTAACTAATTACTAATTATTAAGTTTACCTTCATTTGCAGCCTCCACTTCATCTATTTTAGTAGCTTGTATTTGTTGAGAACGTAAGAAACGTTTCGGTCGTGGCTTGTCACCAATAACTTTTTCAAATTCCTCCTCTAACTCTTGAATCTAATTAAATATTGATTATTTTAATTAATTATTCCAAGTTTAAAACTGAAAACTGGATATCTATACTTGTAATGGTTTTAGATTCGTTAAGTTAGCTTTAACTGGYGAGGGTCCAATCCAAGAATAAATTTCAATTGCCAACAATTTTGCTTCATCTCTAACACTTTTATCCCTGTCTTCAAGTATTGATTGTAATTTTTTTAGCAATGGCTTGATATTCAAGACCTTTGATCCATATTCTCTGTAGTAGATAAAATAAATCAAATTTAATAAMGAATCTTAAAATAATTGGTATACCATAATTATTAATTATAGAACTGAATATTTGATAAATATAATATCTTTTAAAAATCAAAATTGATATAAATTGGTACTTTAAAAGTATAATAATACAAATGTAATTAAAATTTTTTTAGTATATTATAATATAAGATACTACATTATGTAATAGTTCTTCAATACGTAGGAACTTACTTAATTGCTTGAGTCGCAGCTTTTATACAAGTTGAAACAATTTTAGGATATTTATGGTCAAGTCCTTTAACTAATTCTTCTATTACTACATCTTGCTTCTCAATTTCAATAAACATTAATGTTATTTGTATAGCAATATCTTTAGTTTTTGATTTTGGAGCACCATAACATTTTGTTATCAATCCAGCCATGACATCTCCAGCCGAACTGTTAATAAAATGTATGTATAACATAATAAGACTTGATATTTAAAATAGAAATTAGGTACACTCAACTAACCGTCCAGCAATAGCAGAGTTTTTCACAAAAGCCAACGTGGCTTCAAGGCCTTTTTCCTGCGCAATCGCATTACTGTCAACAACAAACTTCTTTATGATCTCATTAAATTTGTTCCATTCATGATCTTTTTCATCCAATTGTCCAAACAATTTAACAGCTTCTTCATAACCACTTATCCTGGCTTTCCACAACTTAAAAAATAAACATGGATAAGTTATCTACCTACATATTGCTATAATTATAATTGTAATTTATTGTATAACACTAGCTTTAAAAGATTTTAATACGTATACCTAGGTAGTTAAAACCAACACACTTATCCATTAAAWCTTTTTGAATGTTAACTTTTCATTATATTATACACCAAAATTAAAATACAAACATTAAATGGTATTTAATACAAATAAAATAAAAAATTACTTTGTGTATACATCGTTCTTCAATGGGCAACTTTGAATATGAAGTGTCTTCTTCTGGAGCAGTCATATTTTGTTCGTCAATTAGGTATAGTCGATAGAGCAAGTATAAATATCTAGTTTTAAGTTGATAGTTTTCTTTATTTCATTAATAAATTGAATAAATATTTCAAATAAGTAGTTGTATTTTACGGTTTCATTAATGTAAAATCACTGACTCTATGGGATTTACAATGAATTTAACGACAATACCTATAATTTTCCAACCTATGTATATTTTGTAACATACCTAGAGGTCGGGAGTGCAATTAAATTTTAAAAAAAAAACTAAATGAATAATTGACACGTACGACTGGCTTGATTTTTTTTTGTTTAAATAAACTCGAATCCAACTAAACTTAGCTTTTACATAGCGTTATTTAATCTGTCAAGACGAATCGATGGACGTACAGAACACAATATTTATACAAATACCTACGATCACAGAGAATCACATGACCGATCGGCGGTTATAACATTATAAGATTAAAATATGGAACTGCGAAAATACAGAACTAAATGCAATAATACTGCATTTACTGCAATACGAATTAGGTATGTACGAAACGTAATTTAATAATAATATTGTTGATACCGAATAATAATCGAATGGAACCAACGATAACAATAATAATCCCCAAACGAGATCTAAAATTATATACCACCATTGAACATAGATAATGCTTCGTTAAAATAATTAAAACCAATCGATTATGTGCCAATACGTGTATGTGTGTGCCGTATACGAGTAGGACATCATTAAATATTATTGGYAGGGGATTTAAGTCTTTGAATATTAGTAAGTTTTATCGTCACATCAATTCATTACATTCGAACGTCGCGAGTTGCCTCGAGTTCGTCGTCCGATCAAGTCTCATACTTGTTGGACCACTATAAGGTTGGTATATAAATAACGTTTGCCAGTCAAGTGTCATAATGTTATACTGTACTGGGACGGACAAAATTCACATTCGTAAAAGTTGCTAACTGTTTTCGATAAGAATGGTATCTCGCGAAATACATTTCTATAAAATGTCCTAATATCAAGTACAAAACCGTATTTCGTGTGACACATTAGTTATAAATTTATATAATATAGTACGTTTGTCATTTTGAATCTATGCAACTATWTTGAAGTTGAATGACCATCTCAAGTCTCAACTTCTTCTAAATTCTTGTTCTCATTCCGGTAACAATTAATTATCTGTACTTCTGTAGTATAGCTACTGTTATTTATTTCGTTTATACATTTATGTGGTTACATTTTCTGACGCACTCTTATCATATAATCAATTTTATAAATTTAAGTCATACCGGGTGATGGGCCTACCATACTCATCAGATTTTTTTTTCTTTTATAAATAAACAATTTATTCAAATCCTGATGTTTGGAATTCTTACGTGTAAGTGCCTAGGTATTCAAGTACCATAATATAATATATTATAGATTATTTTGATTTATATGGGTTCTATTTTAGGGTGTGGCTTGATACGTTACAAACTTTTTTGTAAATAAGTATCAGCCTTTGAAGATTTTGGCTTTTTGAACATTGCRAACATACATTTAACGAGTAGTTTTTAAATAATTTTACCAAGGTTAAAATGAAGTCTAGTCGGTTTAAAAGAAACGGGCCCTATGATATTTTGAAAATTATRCTATTAAATATTAATCTAATAATATTTCATAATTTGTAAAAATTGTCTGAGTATAAATAATAGATTCAATATTAAATCTTAATTAATTTTAGATCTAACCTAACCTTAAGTAATCTTGTAAAGTCATCTCTAATTATCTTTTAATAACAAAAAAATACTCGTTTGGATTTTGATTTAAATACATAAATACTTTTAAAAAACTTGACAATTTACTGTTAAAAATATTGGTCATCAATTCATCATTAAAAAAAAAAAGGAGTTTTAATCACCTCAGAAAATATATATATAATATTATATTATATATAATGTTCCATTATAAGTATACTAAAAAAATTCAAACATCAGAATATTTTGGTGTACGAACTTAGTGGATCGTCCTGTATTATAATATAAATTTTACAATATTTATGAAATTGAAAAATTTAGGATTAACAAAGAAAAAAAATAGTAAATGGATGTCGCTCTGCTATACGCAGTATAAGTTACTGTAGTCTGTAATGGATATGGTATTAAATTTGAATTCAATGATATATTACTATTTTATATACGAAAAACGACCCTGAGCAAACACGGTTTGTCTAGAATATTTTAAACTATACTAATTATATTATTATTTAAAAAATTTAGTCATTAACGACATTAACTATTAATATTAGAATATAAAGTATACTCTAAACATTTTAAGTACCTACGAAAAATATTTTTTAATTACAACAATATAACTAAAATTGTTATTCTTGGTTATATTTAATATGTAATTTCATCATTTTCATCCAAATTTGAAGTTAAAATAACCATAAAAAAAAACTGTGATTGTATAGTTTATAGATTTTTCTTTGCCGCAGAATTAACTACTTAYTTGGAACCTTGTTTTAAATTTTTAATCCTTAACTATAAATGTTAAACGTTTTATAATTTTTTAGCAACCAAGGAATTTGTAATAGCTAGCATTGTCAAAATTTGAATTTTAAATAGTTATGAAAAAAAACGTGCTTATGTTTTTTTTATATTTTCTAACTGCGATTATATCAAATTATGGGGAACCTTGTATTAAATTTTCAAGTTTTTTGAACAAATGTATGACATTTTATTGATATAGTATGTATAGAATAAAAAACGAAAATAAACGAAMAATTTCAAATGTCTAGAAATAACTTGAAAATTTTATCAAGTATAGAAATTGATAAAATAAGCATTAAGTGTAAATTTCAAGTTTCTACAATTATTCCTTTTTGAATAACAAGAAAATACGAATATCGGTAAGAAAGATTAATATTGAGTGAATACGAGTACTATCAAATGTAGGAATTCAAACGCTCATAAAAATTTAATTTGACTTTCGGCAGAATTTTTTATTTGATAAAAGTAGCCAAACTCATAAAAAATCTTGTATTAAATTTTCTTTATTATACTATATAGTTAATATAATAAGTAAATTTGATGATAGTTACAAGACGTGAAAACTTGAGAGAAGAGAGTGCCCGCAGTGTTACTACTTCCAATTTAAACTTAGGGGGAGGTAACTTTATAAATATAAAGTAAGTACTAGGCATTATTTTAATAAATCAAGCGGCCATTTGCGTTTGAGACGACGGAGGGGGTTGTCAGGGATTGTACAAGAAGAGAGTTTAGATATGAATAGGTTTGAATGATTAAAGGTGTTTTTATGAAATTTTTTATGATGATGAGAGGCAAGTGAGAATATTGATGGTATGTTGAGGTCAAGGTGGATTTATAAATCACCTTGGTTGAGGTCTTGATGTAGGGTGCGGTTGCTGACGTACCAGGGAGCACCTAGAGAGGACACGGAGAGATATCGATTGGAACACTTGAAATTTGATTAGGTTTGAGTTTTTCGAGGTTACCCACAGTTGAATTCCGTATGGTATAGCGGGCAGGGACATAATATTTGTTTGCATATTAGTATTTTATTAGTTTATTTTGACATTTTTAAACATAAATTATAACTTTATTTTCAGTTAATAACAGTAAATAAAATATACACAATAGGTCAATAGATAATAGTCTATACCTAAGTAAAATATTTATAATAAAATAGTTATGAAGATTACAAATCTATACGCCTATTCTTCAAAGCAAAGTTATTTAAAATGTTYTCTGACTCGATCTTATTTTAAATATCTCTTTCAATATGTAAAATTGACATATCTGTAAATCTATCCTGGTTCATACTAGATCTGATCCATGTTTTTATTCTCCGCATTACAGAGAAAGATTGTTCACAAGAAGCAGAGCTGRTGGGCAGAGTTAAAGCAACTTGCATGAGTTTATATAAAATGGCGAAAACGTTCTGGTCTATTTTTTGCAACACATCACTAARAGCAAAATCAGAATTTTGAATACTATTTTGAATTACAGTCATTTCAGCTTCTAACGATTCAATATTAATATCCAACAATTTCTAAATATAAAATTAAAAAAATTAGTAGTTATATTTTAATAAAATAATGATATGTGAATTACACATTTTGATTTCCAACTTTGCATAATTTTAAATAGGTACCTCATAATGTTGTATGTCTAGAATCTAAAACAAAGTAATCACACACGAGTCCATTCAATAATGTACCTATGTTTAAAAATAGATTTAAATGTATAAGGTAAATCCACTGTTCTAAAAACAAATCATAAATACAGGTCTTAGATAGTGTTATTGATATAACTATCGAGTGTCTAGCGATAATAATATAATATATTATAAATTATAATTAAAGACCGGATTTATATGCATTTTAAATTGTAAAATATGCATGCAAACATGCACTACAAAAAAGTCAAAATATGCCCTTCTAAGCCYCCCCCCCCTTAGTTACGCCTATGGTCATGTATCATCTTTGTATCGATTATATATCTATATATTTAATATTATGATTTAGTCATTTAGATATATATAATATCTATGATACGGATGATACATTGGGAGTTTATGACTCAAAAACAAATTCTAATTGGTCGCCTGAAGGATATTTACGTGGGATATGAAAAAATCAAGTATTATAAATCAGTTCGAGTCGATAAAAATAAAATTGTAAGTAGGTTGGTATATAATAATATTGATATATTATTTGCAATTATATTTCACGAAAATTATACGGGTACCTATTATGTGGKGTTTCGAAAATCTGTTTTTTTCTTCAGTTTATTCATAARTAAATATAAATATCTGGATACATGGTACTTGAATACTTCGACTTTTAACTACTACTACCTAACCTTGAGACGTATTATAAGAAAATTAGACGTATGTAATGTTTAAAATACGTACATTAAAAATAAAAACAGAAGAAGTCACGGAAAATGTTTCTTTATTATTGTWATTAAAATAAAGGTACCTACTTATCAAATTGTCTCTTTCCGACCATTATTTATTATATTCACGGTCCAATAATTTATTGCTATTTACGCGAGTAGGTAGTTATCATCATTAATATTTCTTTTGGTTACATCATAATTATTTGACTGTCTGCAAACATAGCCTAGACTGTACACATATAAATCAATTGTCGCATACCTATCCATACGTAAATGGCGAATTTTTACCATCCGGTTATTATTACGCACAACTATCGGAGTATCTAAGACACATAATAAAGCACGTTGTGTGGCCTATACCCGTATATAAAAATACTGGACCATGTACGATTATGATTTTGCATTTTATATATTTTTGTCATATTTTTTGGATTAATGACCTATGTCCGAAATACGCCAAGTGAATTTACACTCATGTCTTCTTGGTGGACCATCGAGGAATAAATAGTTGATTATATCA